ATACTTTTTCATACTGCATGATGACTTGGATTTTTGCCTCTGCATAGTTATCTGGTTGCAGTTTCCACCTGCTACCATTGGGTGGGGATCAGGTGATGCGTATTCTGGACCCAACATGATCTGGGGCTTCCCAGCTCCAGTTGCTGACTTCTTTTCTCTCTGTGCAATGCTCTGACCAACGGCAGATCTGGAGTGCCAGGCAGGGGGAGGGGTGCTTTCTTTCACCTGTGCTTCCCCCAGGCTCTGCTTTTTTCTCTGTGTAGAGCTCTGAGTGATTGCACGACTGGATTGCCACCTGGGGGAAGGGACACTTTCTTACACCTGCACACCTTTCCCAGCTGCCACCTCCCTCTCCCTATTGCACTCTGTTATCACAGAGTGGAGTGCCAGGTGGGGGAAGAGGCACCTTCTTACACTTGTGCACCTTTCCCAGCCACTGCCTCTCTCTCCACATGGTGCTCTGGGTGATTGCAGGGCTGGAGTACCAGGTGAGTGAAGAGGCACCTTCTTACACTGGACCTTTCCAAGCCCCCACTTCTCTTTCCACATGGCATTCTGGGTGATCACAGAGACCTGTGCACCTTTCCCAGCCCCTGCCTCTCTCTCAGAGGGGTGCTCTGGGTGATTACAGGGCTGGAATGCCAGGCAGGAGGAGGGGCAATCTCTTTCTTTTACGTGATCCCAGTGTTCTTCCTGGGCCCTCATCAACTGCTCTCCTGGGGTGCTAGTTTGATGGAGACACCCCAACAAACACTGTCTTCTCTAGGTGTGGGGCTGTCCCTCAGGTGGTGAGGGAACTCAGAGAGCATTGGTGTTCCCATGGAGGGCCGCCCCGTCCCAGTTTCCTCTCAGAGCTGTGTGCTGTCCCAAGGTCGCTGACAACCATTGGGAAGAGAAAAGCCCCCCTTACCAGCTTCCACTTCCTTTGGAGGATTCAGCCCCACCATCTTCAGATGTATGGCTACATGGGTCTCTCAGATGTCTTTTGTGTTGTGTGAATGTCCTCTGTTGGTATATGAGTGTCCTTTTGGTTGTACCTTAGAGAGGAGAGTTCAAGGGGAGAGCTCACTCCACCATGATGCTGACGTCACTCCAATATTCTATTTTATATTTTGTGATTATTTCCTCTTATCTTTATTACTTCTTTCCTCCTACTTACTTTGGGCTTAATTTGATGTTTTTTCTACTTAATAAGATAGAAACTCAGATTACTGATTGTAAACTTTTCTCTTTCCTAATATAGAAAGTTCAATCTCTAAATTTCTTTCTAAACACTACTTTAGCTGCACCCCTAATTTTGATATGTAGTGTTTTTATGATCATTCAGTTGCAAATATTTTGTAATTTCCCTTTCAATTTTTTAGTTATCTTTGGGTTCTTTAAACATGTTCTGCACATATCAATTAGATAAACTTCATTGATAGTATCATTCAGATTTTCTATATTATTACTGATTTTCTGTCTACTTTTTCTATTAGTTTCTGAAAGACAGATATTGAAATCTCCAACCAGGAAATTGAATTCCCTTTAATTCTGTCATTTTACCTGTACATATTCTGAAGTTCTATTATTAGGTGTCTAAACATTTAGGATTGTTTTTTCCTTTCTGAGGAATTGACTTTTGTGTTGCAGATGAATAAACATTATGAAATATCCTTCTTTCTCTCTAATAATACTCTTTGTCTTGAAAGTCTACTTTGTCTGATATTAATATACCCATGCCAGTTTTCATATGCTTACTGCTTACATGATATACTTCTTTGTTTATTTTACTTTCAACCTATTCCCCTTCAGATTTAAAGTTTGTCTTTTGTTAAAATCATGTAGTTGAGCTGTGCTTTTTTTATACAGTCTGACCATATCTGTCTTATAATAGTATTTTGTGCACTAACATTAAACATAATTTTTGATACATTTGAGTTGAAGTTTACCATCTTGACTTCTTGCTATTTGTTTTCCATTTGACATTTCTTTTTGTTTCTCTTTTTCTTTTTTCCTGCTTCTACATTATCCTTTTTCTACGATGATCAAATATTTTTTAGCATTCTGTTTCAATTCTTCTATGGGCTTCTAAAAATATACTGTGTCAGGATTGCAATATTATACCCTGTTGTCTGATGTCTGAAAACAATCACTTGTATATTTTATCAGTGAGAGAGATAGTCTTATATGATTTACTCCATCATAATTGGAAGTGGAAATTTTTCATTATTTTTTTTGAATGGAAATTTGACATTATGAAATAATTTTATAAAAATTAATCTGGCAGCAACATGCATAATGATTTGAGTCATAGAGACTAAAATATGAATGATTAACCAGGAACCCAGCAAAATGATACAGGTATTAGATATGAGACATTAGACTGGAGAGATGGTGGAAGTGGAAATATTTTTAAAAGAATGTCAGAAAAAGAGAAAATTTGAACAAAATTTTGAAAAGCAGTTTTAAAAAATTTGAAAGAAGAGTATGATTATTTAGTAATAGATTGGAGATAGGATTTTAGGAAATCATAGAAAATGAGAAAATTTATAATTTTCCAACTTTCAAGATTAGGGGAAAAAAGAGTCTACAGTTAAGAAGACAAAACAGGAAGTGAGAAAGGAAAAGAGGGTAATTTTATTGGTGGGCTTGTTGGACCAAAGATTTCCAAAAGGAGTGAAACTGGATATGTCCTGAACACCCCAGGGAAATATGGGATTAGAGCTTAGATGAGTGGTCAGGGTAAGATGTACAGATTTGTTTTTCTTTCTCAGCTAGGAAATATATGAAAGCTTGTGGTTAGGGAGAGATACCTGAGAGGATGCCTATAGGAAGAAAAAAAGTAAGCAGTGGACGGAATATATGGATTTCATTGGATCAAGGAGAATGGGAACAGCTAGTGGGTGTGGCTGGAGAACAGTTTAGCTGGGAATCAAACACTAGAAGTGAAGGAAGGGATAGGCTACTAGGAAGACAGAAGGAGAGAGCCTACAGGTTTTAGTTGTGGCATTTGTCTGGTTTGCTCCCAGTACATTTAAATGAAAAACACAAGGAAAAGCTCTTGAACCCTCTGCTAAGTACCTCATTGTGAATACCAGCTTCCTTTGGAATGTCTCCTCCATCTTCAAGATCTTTTCATTCAAGGATGAGAAAGGAGAGATTAGGATTGCTCTTTCAACTCTAAATGAATTTAGAAACACAGTAAAAGGCATTCGCTTTCTGCTCTTGAAACTTTCTAAAACTAAGAAGCGCATTGCCTTATATTCTTCCATTTAATAATTCTTCATAATTTAAATATACTGTCTTTAACATTGGCTCCTGGACCCTTGCAACAACCTTATGAGGTACGCTGCACAGGGCCGGTCTTTTCAGCCCCATGTGTTTTCCTAGATGGATAAAGAAAGGCCCAAACTACAGGTCTCTGTCTTCACAGTCTTCTAGAGTTCCTTCACTAACTCCAAGTACCTCTCATAGTTCTACACTGTGATGGAGAATAGGATAATAAACTTTCCCTGCTCTGTTCACAGTTAGAGAAATAATGATGTGCTGATTCCAGAACAAAAATAAGTAAATGCATAATAGCCATAAACTTTCTGCTAATATCTCACTTAAACACATACTCAGAAACAAATGTAGCCATTTTTAAGCCAGGAGGTAAAAAAAAAAAAAAAGAAAAAAATCCAGACTGTCCAAAAGTTTTATGTAATATGTAATTCTTGAGCCAGCCTTGATGGCCTAGTGGTTAAAGTTCAGCATGCTCCACTTTGGCGGCCTGGGTTCACTTCCTGGACGTGGAACCACACCACTCATCTGTCAGTAGCCATGCTGTGGCAGCATCTCATGTAGAAGAACTTACAACTAGAATATACAACTATATACTTGGGCTTTGGGGAGGTAAAGGAAAAAAGAAGATTGGCAACAGATGTTAGCTCAGGATGAATCTTTCCAGCCAAAAAACAAAGAGTCTCTAAGCTAATATGTAATTCTCTCTTTTTAAAAAGTTTTGCCCACTTTTTCTCTCTTTGGGGCAGGGAATATGCTCTTTCAGTGTATTATTCGGCCTGGTTAAAATCATATAGGTAACTCTGATTCATTATAACTTGGATCTTTTATCCTTTCATCCAAATAATTGTCTATGATATGATTGCTTTCTTTCTCCCACTCACTCTCTTCTACATTTCTTTTTTCATCCTTCTGAGTTTATTAGTCAATAAAAGATGAAACAAAAAAGTATGCCATCACTGAAGACAGGGAAGATATGATTTCATGTCTCTTACTAATATGGTACTTGGTATATAGATATAATTTTCATCCCAATTATCACATCTCTCTTGTGCTGTGAGAATGTCACACATTTTATTTACATTTTATTGTGCATGTTCACAATAGCTTTGTCTTGTGTCTTTAATTTGGTTGCCAAACAAGCTGCATACACAGGATGGTTTCTTATTTCTAGGCCCTATCCAATTTTCAGTTTTGTCCTGATAAGAATTTTATACTCAAATCTGTTAAGACAAAATTGCTCTTCTTCTCTCATCTTCTACTGAGTTACACTGTGCCCAAACTTTCTAACATCTATTAATACTTTTATAAAATTTCATTATAGAATAGTTTTATGAGAAGAAGTAAGACTCAGTGAAAATAACATGGAGTAAAATAGATCTTGTTCAAATCCAAAATTGACATTTTCTACCTGTGGAAAAATAATTGAGATGATTAAGCATATAGATGCTATATCTGTGGTATAAAATTTATAGATTAAATAGGTAAGGTACTCTATATAGAAAAAATGAGAACTCTTGGTAGAATTTATAAGCAAACAAATTCTTAACTGCTCTTTTAGGTTTCTATTTGAGAAGACATATTGGTACAAAACAACCTGTCATTTATTCACAACTCAGTTCAAAAAATTATACTATATCTGGCATGAACAAAGCTAGAGACATGAAACATGCAAGCTGTAAATACAGGCAGAGTATAAAATGTGGTTCTTGCCTTTAAGAAGCTTATGGATTAGTATGACAGACAAGACCTATCCATCTGAGACAATCACTGAACAACAGAAGGTATGTTATAACAAGAGCTACCATTTATGGAGTGCTAAGCAGTATTACATGTTTTATAGACATTATTTCTCATCTTATTTATCATTTAGGATTATTTATTGCCTTAAGCTAACCCTACAAGGTAAGTGTTATTATCGCCATGGTACAGTTTAGCAAACTAAGTTTCAGGGAGGTTCAGTTGACTAACAAAAGTTACACAACTAATAATAATAACAAAAATAGCCATCACTTACAGAGTACCTACAAGGTGTGGCCTCAGTGGGGGCACAGTGATGGAATTTAGAGCATAGGACCTGTAGCTCATGTCTAGTTCTGCTCCCTGTAATCGGAGATCTGAGAGATGCATTCTCATGGCCACCATATCCTCTAAAGGACAGAGTCAGAAATTTAATTCAAAACTTTTTGCAAAGCCCTCTGGAATTCATCATTACCTTTATCTCACCATTGAGAAGACTGAGATTAATTAGGATGCCATAAGTAGAAACCGGCCTTTATGTGTTTTCAGAACCAAAGCTTGCTTAGAGCTACCTTAGACCCCTGTGGGGTCTTTGTATCCTCATATTCTGGTCAATTCTCACCTCCATTTCTACAACATAGTTAAGAATTGAGTGTGGATTCCTTGAAAATACTGTCCAAGCTTCGGCATAAGCCCTACATGTCTTCTTGATAAGCTTGAGAGTAACTATAATGGGGCAATGAAAAAAGTAGCACAAAGGTCTCTATTGTTTCTGTTATTCTTTTGTTGAGAAGTTGGTATCCTTGATCTCATCATCAATGTACCTGTCAGTACAAAATGCATTATTTATGAGAGTTTTCTATATAATCCACATGCATTTGATGAAAATGGTCAAGCCCAATATGAAACAGAAAATGCATCAACGTTCTTTTGAAAGTCTCGTATTTCCCTCTTGCTGGAGTAGCTAGAGGGAAAGACAGAAAATAACCGTGAGAGAAGGGAGACTTTTGAACAATGGAGGAGAGTCTTACAAATGGCACATTCTTGGTATTATCTTTTTACAACCAAATTTGGTTAAGTCTGCAGCAGCTCTCACCACAGTCGTGGAGGCCATCTGTCTGCAGAAAACTTTTCAAAGGTTAGGTTCCAATTTTTGGCTACTTGTGTCATTTTATCCTTCCCTTCATTACACAGGTGTGTTTTTTTTTTGGTATAGTGAATAGAAAAAGAAATAAATATCAAAGCAGCATTTCCCAATAAAATTCAATAAAATTCAAGAGCAAATATGACTACAGAAGAGTAGATTAAACAAAGTTAAACAGTCTTGATTACAGAACTATACTGAGCCTTAATTATGATATTGTAAGTTAAGACTCTCAAAACAAGTCATGTCTTTAGCATTTGTAGATACTTATTATATATATGTATGTAGTCTGTGACTCTGCAAGCAAGTCATATGTAAACCATTTATATATATAATCTAAAAAATATATATACATACACGTTCTAACATTTTCCCATAGCTATTTTCACATATACCATCTTAAGGGAGTCATGTTTTATAAGAAAGCAGGGTGAATGCTGATTTAGAATGATAAATCAATATAATCTATGTAGATTATATATATGCAAATCTATAATAACTATAATCTATATTGATTTAGTCTTGGTATTTGAAGCTAAAGGTCTCACTTTCAAGGACGGAGAATCCCCTGGAATTTATAATGTCTGCTCTCATCTTAGTCTGACATCCTTATACACATTAGTGTGAACCAGCGGGATATCAATGTGAGACACATTCATCAGGGAGCTAGTATAGAAACAAGTCAAAGAAATAAGAGGGCTGTAGGAGTATCATTAAGGAGAGGTGCTTGAACCAGGAAGACTCTCTCAACAATTGTAGTTAATATTGTGAGCCTGAGATATGGCAGAGCAGGTAAACACAGCCCTTGAAAGTACAGGTAGGCACAGTCCTGGTAAGAGGTGCCTGAAGAAAGGCTGTTTGCTTAGGACCTGCTACTCCTTACAAAATGGAATACAGAGACTCCTCCTGCCTCAAGGTGTCACCCTCGACACCCAGGTCCATTACACAGAGGAATGAAACAGAGGCCACTGACTGGGCTCTATGTCATGGCTACGAAACACAATCTGTCATGGCTAGTACATTCTTGTGTCATCCTTGGGACTAGACTCCAGCTTTTCCTATGAGAAGCACACAGTGCTAGCCATTTAGCCCTCTCCCTGCACCATTATAAGCCCCACAGGCTCTCCAGCTTGCCCATTTCAGAAGAGAACTGGATCTGCTCTAACGCAGTGGCCCCAGGTTCACTTGCCAATGATTGCAATTCAGAGGCCTCAAATGCCAATCACTCGGCAGAAACTGGAGCATCTAAATTGTAAATGCCTTGAGAGAAAAGATTAGTTTTTAAAAATCATCCTACTACCATCTCATAAAATACAGTCCTGAACTTAGAACATAATCAACTCACAAAGCTTACTGTCAGAGAGGACCAATGAAGCAGGGTGAAATGAAACCAGGCAAGAAAGATATGATACAAAATAGTGAGTCGCAGTGGCAGTCTTTAAGGTTAAACGATGTACTCATTCACTCTTTCACCCATCTATTTATTGGACAACCATTTATAGGAACCTCCATACTAGGTCTCAGAGACAAAAATGAGAATGAAACAGTTTCTCAAGGAATCCAGTGAGTCCAGCTGTTTTTCACGCCCTGGAATGCATATCAGCTACCGGGAATGATGGTTTAAAATGCAGATCCCTGGTCACACTCCCATAGATTCTCCTTATGTTTGGCTGGGGTAGATTCTAAGTCTTGATTGTTTGTTATGGTGATTATGATGCGCGCCATCTGTATGATATATGTAACTCTAATCAGGCACCTAGCAACCAGAGGGCGCTAGTATATCTCTTCTGAATGGACTGAGGGGTTAGGAGCATAGTGATTAGGAGCATTTCTTTTAGAGTCAGGCAACCTGAATTCAGATTCTGGCTCCGTCACGATCTGTTTGAACTCAGATAAATGACCTGACCTCTTTAAGACCCAGTTTCATTTGAAGTAAAATGGGGATAATGTTTCTTATCCAGTGGCTTTATTTTGAGAATAAAATGAGATAACGTGTGTCTGGCACATTACTTGGTACATAATAGGTGCTCAATGCATACTTATAACAGTAACAACAATTATTACTGTCAGTGGTGCTATTGTTATCACTACCAGAGTGATTCACCAAAATTAAGCTATATTAATCAAAATTAGTTATATATAAATTTTTAACATAAAATTGCATATTTACTATATAGTTCACACATTATTAATCATTAATTATAGTATAGATTAATTATGTTAATACATATAACCAGCAGAGATTATGACTGACAAATCCAAGAGAGGAATTTGTGGAATTTTCTATAAAAGAATAGTGAAGGTGTCATCTGAAAAATCCTTCCATTTCCTACAAGGTAAGACTTACCATCTCTCTTATATGTTGATTTGATATAAAAATCCTATTTGCAATGTAGAATTGTAATAATTTGACTAGGAAAGAAAAAAGAAAAAGAAGGAAGTTGAGGAAGTGGTGTTGAAAACACAAAGAGAGAGAAGTGACTGCTCTGCTTTATACAGCCCATAATATACACACACCTCTGCAGGCCTGGAAGGCAAATGCATGACCCTGTGGTACAGGTATATGGTTTGGAGCTAAACTTATTTTCGCTTAAATTTCTACCTAGTGAACCGTCTTGGACAGATTATTAATCTTCCTGAAATTCAGTTTTCTCAACTGATAAATGGGTACAATTCTATCTCAAAATCTCTTTCTTAGAACCTCCAGTTGTAAGGATTAATAAAACAGAGGATATAAATTGTCCTCTATGCTAAAGATGACCAACAAATAGTAGTTCCCCTCTTCCTTGCGTATCTGTGGATGGGGTACCTTCTGTTTACCCCTCTAGATCCACTCTCTAGTCTTTACAGTTTTCTGCCCAAGAGACTGACTTGTGAGAACTAGGTCAACAAGTCCCCTTGACCATCCATTTTCAGTTCAGTTAAGACAATGGAAATCTTGAGCAGGAGACCTGAGGGAGGCAGGAGAGTGATATCAGATGATTTATTGCCCTGGCTCCCTCCATGACGTGACCTTACGCAGGCTGTCTCCTTCTGCTGAAGGTCATAGCTCCTTTCAGTGTGGCTCTCTCTACTTGACTTTCTCATTCTGGGTCTGGTAACTACTTCTTTTCCTCTCTAGTTAGGTCTAAGGTTGGTAACAGCTCACTTGTTACTAGCCACAGGGCATTGCACAATCCCCTGGGGTTTCCCTCATCAGATGACCATTTAATTTTTTGTCAAACATTCTGAGCACAAACTAAGTTGCGTTAATAATACTAAGCCAAGCAAACCAGGATGTGTGGTCACACCACCTTGCCTTACGCATGCCTTTGCATGCATCCTCCTTCTAGTTATGCTGATTTTCCTGCTATATTCTGTCCCAATACATAGGTGGACTGTAGGTTGTGACTTCAAGTACTATGTTGGAATGTATGTATAAAAATCAATAGATTACATCATAAAGGTATATATTTTTCTTTCCTCTTTCAGAGCCAGATTATTTCCTACTGGGGTTGTCCTTATGAAGAGTATGATGTTGTGACAAAAGACAATTATGTCCTCATAATTTACAGGATTCCTCATGGAAGAGGATGGCCAAGGAGAACAGGTAGGATTTATTCTGTAATGAAAGGAAAAAGACTAAAGCAGAGATTCCCACATGTGCTGATTGATGCCAGCAGGGCAGCTTTTGTCCTGAAATAGAACCTAGTCTCTTCCCTGAGAGGAGGAAATTCATCACCTCCACCTCTACTACTCCATTGCATGTGTATAACACTTGGAGTTTTTAAACATTTTTATGTTACTCTATTTGGTCTTTTCTTCTCTCCATCATTTTGTCCTCCTTCCAAACAAACACAAAAACAAAGAACACTTGGCCTTACTCTGGAGATACCACTTTCTAGGCTTAAAAAACAGAAACTTAAGAGATATTTTTGACATTTTCTTCTCCCTCACCTCCTATATCCAGCCAATCACCAAGATCTATCAATTTTGCCTTCTAAATTTCTCTCTCTTCTGAAAAGTTCTCAACTTGATTATTGCTGAAGTCCAGTCTTGGGCATCATCATCATCTTTTGCTTCAGCTACTACAGTAACTTTGAATTATTTCACTTGTAATTCGTTCTCTACCCAAGTCAGAGGGATTTCATTTTTTTAAGTAAATCTGACATTATTAGTTCTATACTTAAACTTATTTAAAGAGCTCTTTCTAGCTCCTTACAATACAGGTTGATATCTATAGAGGGATCCACTTGACAAGAAGTGCTTGCTTTCTTCTCTCATTTCTTAGCTCTTTTTGTTACTGCACAAAATCGAGCTTCTCTTGCCTGATGCAAATAAACAAGCCAATTAGTTACAGCATCGGCCTTTGGGAAAAGAAAGCAGCTTTATTCTGCGAGATTGATCTGCAGGAAGAGAGGGGCTGTGTGCCCTCAGATCTGTTTCCCTAATTCAGGATTTGAGGTGAAATTTAAGAGGTTAGGACAGCAGGCTGTCACACAGAAACGCTAGTGGGCAGGTTTTGATTGGTGGACTTCAAGCATTTATGGTAAGGTTCTAAACATTTAGGATGAGGTTCTAAATATTTATGATGAGTTTCTAAACATTTATGGTAAGGTGGGGAAGGAATTTTAACACTGGACCTTCCTGAATGATGGACCCCTTTTTTCTGATAAGAGTCCTCCTTTTAAGTTCTGGTCATATCCCGCTCCTTTGGTTCATTGGGGAGGAGAATCTTTGGTTCCGCAGTCATTTCAGGTCAAGATTTCTTCTGTATGTGCTCTGCTTAGGTGACTTTGCAAATTTTCTGAAAGACAATTTCCTAATTACTCTGTTGATAAGAGGGGGTCAGTCTAATTTGTCCTGGAGGGCCCATGGTTACAATTTTATTCTTTGGAGTCTTGCATAACAAAACTTCTCAATAGCAGAAATGTTAACTATTTAAAGAGAAAATCTAGAGTTTTTAAAAGAGAAGGAGATGGAATGGTGGTGTTAACTTTGTAGAAACAACCTTCCTCCAAATAACTCCATTACCTTTGTGAATACCCAGGAGAATTTTGTTTTCCAAAACTTTCATCTTGTCATTTCTGCCAGGTTGCTGCCAAAATGTATGAGATGAAAAGCTGTCTCCACAGTGATAAGCTGCCTGAGGGCTCTGATAAGAGAGGGGCCCTGGGCTATGAATGCTGTTTGTCAGTAATTTAGCAGAATTAGTAACACCTTTTCTTTCTGTTTTCTCAAAAGGTGCATAAATGGACGTAGACTCTTAGTTCCTTGATTCCAGATGGCTGAAGACTCTCTAAGAGTCCAGTCTAGCCTACACAACCTGAGGAAGCTGATCTAGCCACAAAAGCATCATAAAACCATTTATAAAAGGCAGGAAAGTTTTGGTCATTTTTCTCTCTCCTCTTTGTTTTCAACACAATTTCCCCACTTCCTTATTTTTTTCTCTCCTTCTTAGTCAAATTGTTCCAATTCTACATTACAAATGCATTATGTATAATCTCAATGTTACAAAGAGAAAGATAAGACATAAGGAAAACAAATAACTTACGCACGTAACTAGTTCAGAAGGGATTAGAACCCAGGTTTGCCTGGTGCCAAATTTCATCTCTTAACCTCTCATCTACACTACAAGAAGTCAGGAAAGATTATTTTCTTGTAGACACTAAGGAAGTTTAGACACAAAATTCTTGTTGCCTGTGTTTCCCAGCTCTGAAGGCTGTTGTGTATTTGCAGCATGTCTTAATTGCATCTGCTGGTAACTGGATTTGCAACCTGCCCAACACGAGCTTGGCTTTCCTTCTGGCAGATAATGGTTATGATGTGTGGATGAGGAGCACTCAAAGAAATACCTGTTCCAGAAAACACTTCAAATTTTCAGCCAAGTCACCAGAATTCTGGGCTTTCAGGTAAGGAGATACCTACTAATGAATAAAGTGTATGCTTGCTCATTTATATGGCTGAACACCCTTTTTTTAAAGATTTTATTTATTTTTTCCTTTTTCTCCACAAAGCCCCCTGGTACATAGTTGTATATTCTTCGTTGTGGGTCCTTCTAGTTGTGGCATGTGGGACGCTGCCTCAGCGTGGTTTGATTAGCAGTGCTATGTCCGCGCCCAGGATTCGAACCAACGAAACACTGAGCCGCCTACAGCAGAGAGCGCGAACTTAACCACTCGGCCACGGGGCCAGCCCGTGACCGTATAGTGGTTAGTACTCTGCATTGTGAACACCCTTTGTTTTTTCCCTTTCTGTGCAAATGTACCCAATGGAATCCACCAGAAAGAAATAAACATTTTTTCCTCTTTCTAGGCTTTCTTCACAGGCTCTGAAGAAATCCCATTTTTATTACACTTTTATTTGTTTTAAAAATCCCATTGGTTGGCATATCTGTGTGTGCATGTAAAATATATATGGGAAAAACTCAAAATGCAGAAGTCAACTTTCAAAAGATTAATACCAGGACTATCACTTTGTCAATGTGGATGCCAAAGGAAATTTATATGGTATCCTCACTAAATGGGAAAAATGAAACTGATCAAGAAATGGAATAAGATTCTGCTTGAAAAATCCTGAGAACTACTCATTCATAATAAACCAAGATTGAGCCTTGTCCTCAGGCATAGATCATTCTCAGATGTTTATTGGCTGAGTAGTGAAGGAACTCTGCCCTCCATAGGCTGGTGGTGCCGGACACTGTTCCTAGATTCTGCTCCAGGAGAAGTAAGGAGAAAGCTTGATCACAAAGGATGACTAAAGAGCAGAGCTGGCAGCAGTGGCCCCTGGGGGCACTGTCTGTTCTAGAAGTCAGGCCAGCTTGGTCACAGGGAAAAACTCCTGCACTTGCATCAGAGCTAAGAACCAAGCCTTGAAGGTCACTAAAGCTGTTTATTCCTTGGCCTCATTACTGCCTTATTCCTGGAAGCCATTTGGCATTTCTTATTCCACACCCCAGTGCAGTTGTGTCATTGCACTATTGCAAATAACATGATGATTCCCTAGGTGGGTGTTTTCCCAACTACACAGAGGAAAGAAGCACCTGAGGTAATTGGTAAACAGGCTGATGTCTGCAAATCTGTTTGTTTCATTCTGTTTTTTAAATAAACATTCCTAGTCATTTTTCTTTTTAAGGGATTTTGGTAAATCTGCTATAGAATTAAGTGAAAAGCCTCTGTTGGCTTTTGCAAGTCAGATTTTTCTGATTTCAGTTTCTTAACAGTGTTACTCTTGCAATCAAGGTGACATTCTCAAAAGTTGCACAGACACATAATATGATATATTAATTTTAGTCTTATTTTTAACAAAAGCTAAGTATCTGTATCTGCAATAAATATGTTTAAATATTGCAGGCCAAACAATGACATGTTTTGTCCAATTTTGTTGCTGTTTTTCTTTGACAGTTTAGATGAGATGGATAAATATGACCTTCCAGCCATAATCAATTTTTTTGTAGAGAAAACCAGACAGGAGCGACTCTACTGTGTGGGCCACTCCCAGGGCTCCAGCATTGGTGTGTTTGCGGCAGATGTGATTTCAGTGTCAGAGGATCTTCTTCCATATTCATGAAAGGGGTCAGGATTTCTTCCCTCTGTGCAGTCTCTAGCTTGGGAACCTGAGTTGGGAAACCATTTCATCTGCCTGGTTTCTGAAGAATAAATAAAATGAGGATGATAATAGGGATTTTTCCCCTCAGGACTGAATTTGGAGACTGATGGATAAGTCTGAAGGAGAGAGAATTATTTATTTATTCATTTGTGTACCCAGCAAGCATTTGTCAGACACTGGGTTAGATGCTGGAGAGCCAGATATAAATATGGTATACATCTTGCAGTCTAGCGAGGGACACCAAAAATAAAGCAGAGAATTACCAATCTCAGTGATTATATGCCACAATCAGTGTGACTTTCAGTTCCCAGCAGATGCTGGAGTAGGCTAAATGTGGATAGGGCCATGTTGGCAGTGCCATGAAGCACTTCATTCCCTTCTCTGCTCTCCATTCAGCTAGAGACCTCGACAATACCAATAGAATTTCCACCAGTCTCTTTTCTGTGTCTTAATCGTTATCAGGTTTCTAGTGTAAAGTAAGTCTCTATATGCCTGTACTATAGTATACATCTTACATGCATTCTCTCATTCGAAACTACAAACATTTGAGAGCAGTATCACCCATATTTTACAAATGGCTGAATTTAGGAATATTTTCTAATGATGATAATGCCAAATAACACCTTAAGTGTAATATATACAGGCGATCCCTGACTTACAACAGTTCGATTTACAATTTTTCAACTGCATGATGGTGAAAAAGTGATATGTATTCATTAGAAACTGTACTTTGAATTTTGATCTTTTCCGGGCCTAGCAATATGCAGTATGATGCTCTCTTGTGATGCTGGGCAGCAGCAGCCAGCCACAGACAGCACAAGATCAAGGAAAACAACTGATACACTTGCAATGATTCTGTACCCAATGCAACCATTCTGCTTTTCATTTTCAGTAGAGTATTCAATAAATTGCATGAGCTATCCAAAAGTTTATTATAAAATGGGCTTTGGGTTAAATGATTTTGCCCTACTGTAGGCTAATGTAAGTGTCTTGAGCAGGTTTAAAGTAGGCTAGGCTGAGCAATGATGTTCAGAAGGTTAGGTGAAATAAATGCATTTTTGACTTGCGAAATTTTCAACTTGTGGGTATATTGGGATGTAATCGTATCATAAGTCAAGGAAGATCTGTATATAACTTAACATTTGAAAGAATCATCTTATAAAGCTTCTATTTTCCACATTTACAGATTGAGAAAACTGAAACTCACACTGGGAAGATAACTTGCCCAACTTTTCACACAGCTAATGAATGAGAAGCCAAGATTATAGCCCAGTTTATCTGATACTAAGTCCATAGTCAAACTGGAATGGCCCTTGGAGTTTACCTAGATATGCCCCACAGTGGATGTTTGAACCTGCTCTGCAACATTCTCTTTAGGTAGACTTGCACTCTCTGGGGGCAGGAAACTCAATTCATTCTGAATCAGTCAATTCCATCCTTGAGAAATTTGGAAAATCTTTCTCTAAACATGCTACTTTCTCTGAGTGTTTTTGTCTGTTTATTTTGTTATGTTTTTAATATATCTAATTTTACTATAATTTAAAAAACAAGTTAAGAATTGTTTTAAATCTATGAACTTCTATCTTCTTCCTTATCAGCTTATGTAGCATTCTCTACAAATCCAGAGGTGGCTAAAAGGATCATGATACTTTTTGCATTGGCTCCAGTCATCACGGTGAAATATACTCAAAGTCCTATGAAAAAATTAACTCTTTCCAGAAAAGTAGTCAAGGTATGTGACTTCCCCAAGTTTAAATCTGTAGTAACTAAAATTAGCTCTATTTCCACTGACTTCAAGAGAAGGGGATCTCACACAAATAACATTTTACAAACTTTGTAAGAATATAATAGGTGCTCAAGGGATCCATATGTGTTTACTGATGATGTACCATTTTACCAACAGGGTTCAGAGAGCTCGCTCTGATGCTATTCTACCCTATTGTCTTCATCCATGTCCAGAGGCTTCTCTACCATGTCATTCTTCAATCACAGATAAAGGAGGAGGTCATTTGATCAGTTGAGTTGTTTAATATAGTAGGTTAAATTTTTCTCTGAGGCCCCCCCAGTTTTTCAGAGGCACGATAATGTAGTAGTTGAGATTACAGCATGGTGCCAGATAGCACGGGTTTGAATCCTAGCTAGATGAGTGATTGGTCAAAACCTTAAGTGTTCTAGGAGTCATTTCATCTAGAAAGTGGGAGTAATAATAGTCCCTACTCATAGGGCTGCTGTGAGAAATAAGTGAGTTCCTACATGTAAATCCCTTAGAGGCAGGAATTGCACACTGTATGCCTTTAATAAATGTCAGCTATTGTTATTGCTGTCTTGATTTTCATAGAACACATTATCCCATCACTAAAAGTCTAATCTTGTTCTATTGCCCACACTGCACAGACTTTCAATCAACTCCTCAAAACCTAGGCATATCCTAGACCTCAGGTCCTTTCTGCTAGCTGACAGCTAACTAAGCTGATCGTTTACTCAGCTTAGGAGAATTGATCTATGTGAGTTGGTGTATTTTCTTGTTGCATGTTAATATGAGTTACTCCCATGGCAGACTGAAGGTGATCATACTGTTCAGTGACTTCAGTGAAAGCATAAGAATGTGAAACAATTTTTATAAAAGCCAGGATTCCGGTTCATGAGAGATCGGAAAATTAGGCAGAGAAATGGATTGATCAGATTTGTATTTTTAGAAATATTGCCCTAAAAGGGCTTTAACTCCAATAGAGGAGATACCACATATGACTCACTAATTCCTAATAGAAATTCCAGGATCATTGTAATGATAGAGCAAAGAAATTGCTAGACAAACTCAGAGAAATGTGAAGATGTTTCTAATTGTTGGAATCACAGAAGACTTCTTGGATGAGACGACATTTGAGTTTGGACTTAAGGACAAGATTTCTACATATAGGGTGTTGTAGAAAGTCTTTCCAAAACCAAGAGGGAAACATGAGCAACATTAAGTGGTGAAGTTCAAGCTGGGAGAAACCCCATGTAACTGACTTTATTAGGGCTTTAAATTTGTGAAGAAGAGTATGAGAAAGAGTATTGGAAATGTAGGAGTAGCTTCTGAAAAAGCTTGAATGCCAAGTTAATAAATTTGGAATTTATTCTGTAGCTAATGGGTGACCATGGAAGGTATTTGTAGAAAGGAATGACATGCATAATGCTCTTTTTTGGAATGAGTCTCCTGGTAAACAAGTGGAAGTAGATGGGAGTAAAAGACATCAAGAGGGGCTAAAGATAAGACAATGGTTATGGGATTACTGTTACATGTCAACTGATAGATGTTGGGAAACTGAGCCAGAGTTGTGCAAAAGAAGATAAATCTACAGAATTTGACAATGAAATGATAGACAGCTTTATAAGCATGGTATAAACTTTGAGAGGGTGGGACTTTCACTTCTTCTCTCTTGTTAGCCAAATGTTCTCAGGCATGTTGGAGAATGGCTTCCCATTTTTGCTGGAGAGCTCCTGGACTGGGATGACCCTTTTGCTATCTCTGATTAGAGAATTCTTTTTATTGATACTATCAGTCCTTTTCTATTGCTCCTTCATTTCAATTCAATTCAATTCAATTCACATAAGACATTAGCATAAGGTCTTGAGTCAGACAGAACCAAGTTCCCATTCTGCCCTATGTGACCTTGGATAAGTTATTTAACCATGCTAAGCCTAAGTTTTCACATTTATAAAATTAGTAGAATTTGAAGTTTTGACATCAGCAAGACGGTGGGTTAGGAGGTCCCAACACTTGTCTCCTCAACAAAAACAACAAATAACTTCAAACTGACAGAAAAAGCTCTGGAAAAGCTCTGGACTATAACGAAGAAGCAGCAGAAATGCTGTGGATCTCAAAACTCAAGCATGGCTGTAAAGAAAAGCATAGGAAGCATTTTACCTCCATCACCCCATCCCACAGTCTAGAGTAGCTCAGAGCCAAGAGGGATCCTCTTGGAGGGATTTTATTTCCATGGGGGAAAGGAGAGGAGGAGAACACCCACAAGACTTGTTACTACCATGGACATTTTTGGCTTTTATTACCAAGGATCCACACAGTCTTCATCAGTGCTGAACCCAGCTCACAGAAAAGCTTGGCATCCTTGCTGCTGCTTCTGGTCCCTGGGGCTAGAGCAGTCGCTGAGGTGAAACCTGTTCCTAGGGGCTCCAGTTACTGCTGTGGTCTATACTCCGGGATAAGGACAACACACTGTCTTGCCATCTATGGAACCAGACCTGCCACTGCTCTGACCCAAGTCATGGCTTTGACCCACCATTACCAGGGCCACACTGCTGCCAGTCTGTGCTCTGGTCCCTGGGTCCTGAGCTAGGGCTTCAGCTCAGTATCACTAGGGCCAAGCTGCTGATGCTCTGCCTCTGCCTCCAGGGCCAGAGTTGTGAATTTGACCTGCCATTCCTAGGACATGTTGCTGCTGCATGCTGCACCTTGGGTCCAAGCCACCACTGCATCCTGTCATCCCTGGGTCCATGCTAGTGCTGAGTTTCCCAAGCTCTCCCCCTAGCCCAGGGCCCAAGTCATTGCAGCAAGCACCACAGACTCAAATTCCAGTTCCATAGGAGATATGTACATGCCTATATCTCAGCCACCACCACAGCAAGTGCACCTATTCCCCAACCCAGATACTGTGCTAGTTCTGAACCCAGGACACTGGCTCTGCTACTGCTGAGTGCCAGTGCCCCAGACCCAGCACCAAGGATACCTCAGCTACAGCTTCTCTCCATGGGAAAAAAAGAACAGGAGGATATCAACAGTCTTTGCCACTGAGGAACACAATAACTCTAGCCGCCACTACCACCTGCAGGACCTCCACAGTCTTGACCAGTGAAGATCCCCACAGTCTTCAGCATTGTTGACCTCAGCGGATGGAGCTGCTCAGAGGCTGTGATTCTGGGTACTCCCTAGAACCAAGACACTGCACCCTATGAGCTGGCACCCTTGCAGCCAACTTTAGGTGAAAATCTTTCCATACTAAAGTCAGTCTGAAAAGGCTGGAAGAGGTGACTACTCCCTCAAATATGCAGATATTAACACAAAGCCACTAGAAACACAAAAAAGCAAGAAAACATAACACCACCAAAGGAACACAATAATTTTCTAGGAATTGAACCCAAAGAAATGGAGATCTGTGAGTTACCTGAAAAAGAATTCAAAATAATTATTTTAAGGAAGCTCAGCAAGATTCAAGAGAACACAGATAGGCAACTCAATGATCTCAGGAGAATGATGCATGAACAAAATGAGAAGTTCAACAGAGAGATAAAAACCATATAAAAGAACCAAGAAAATTCTAGAGCTAAAGAATAAAATGATTGAAGTAGAAATTGGGATAAGACAGCCTCAACAGCAGTCTCAATCAAGAAGAAAGAATCTGTGAACATGAAAACAGATCTCTTGATATTATCTAATCAGAGGAGAAAAAAGAAATAAGAATGAAAAAGAGTGAAGAAAGCCTGCATGAATTAGGGGGCACCATAAGCATAGGAAAATTTCCATTATAGGAGTCCCAGAAAGAAAAGACAGAGAAAAAGGGGAAGAAAGCTCATTAAAAGAAAAAATACCTGAAAACTTCCCAAATCTGGCAAACAAAAGCTGAAGGAATGGTTCATCACTAGTCCTGCCCTATAAGAAATACCACAGCTTGTTTCTTCAAGCTGAAACAACAGTATGCTAATTAGTAACATGAAAATATAAAATTCAATGGTAAAGGTAAATATATAGTCAAGTTCAAAATACTTTAATACTGCTGGTGGTGTGTAAATCACTTTGAACTCTGGTGTGTAGATTAACAGACAAAAGTGTTAAAAATAACTATAGCTACAATGTTTTGTCAAAGGATACACAATATAAAAAGATGTAAATTGTAATATCAATAACATAAAATGGGGGGGCACAAGTAAATGTGTGGAACTTTTTCATGTGATTGAAGTTAAGTTGTCTTCAGTTTAAAAGACTTTTAAAAGATGTATTGTAAAAGTCTCATGGTAATCCCAATGCAAAATCCTATAATGTTACAAAAACGATAAAGAGAAAAGATTCTCTTCAATAAATTGTGTTGAGGTAACTGGATAGCCACATGCAAAAGAATGGAATTAGACCCATATGTTACACCATTTACAAAAATTAACTTGAAATGGATTAAACTCTTAATCTGGACTTAATTCATAAGATTTGAAACCATAAAACTCCTAGAAGAAAATATAGGGGAAAAGCTTCTTGACGTTGGTCTTGCCAATGATATTTCATATCAGAAACCAAAAGTACAGGCAATACAAACAAAAACAAACAAGTGAGACTAACTAAAAAGCTTCTGCATAAGAAAGGAAACAATCAATAGATTGAAAATGCAAACTGCAGAATGGGAAAAAATATTTACAAACCATGTATCTGATAAAGGATTAATATCCAAAATATATGAAGAATTCATACAACTCAATAACAAAAAACAAGTAATCCAATTAAAAAATGGCAAAGGACCAGAATAGACATTTTTCCAAAGAATACACATAGATTGGCAACAGGTACATGAAAATGTGCTCAACATCACTAATCATCAGGGAAATGTAAATCAAAACCATAAAAAGCTGTCACCTCACATCTCTTAAAATGCCTATCATGAAAAAGACAAGAAATAACAAATGTTGGCAAGGGTGTGGAGAATAGGAAACCGTTAGACACTGTTGGTGGAAATGTAGATTAGTACAGGCCTCGTGGAAAACAGTGTGGAGGTTCCTCAACAAACTAAACTGGAAAAATTAAAAAGAACATAAAAAATACTGCACTTGCGATGACACGGATGAACCTGGAGGGCAGACAGAGAAAGATACTGTATGGAATCACTTACATGTAAAATGTAATTTTAAAAAGCCATTTTCATGGAAACAAAATAGAATGGTAGTTGCCAGAGACTGGAGAAGGAGGAAATAGGGAGGTGTAGGTCAAAGGATACAAATTTTCATTTATAAGACATTTAATGTCTTATGGTGTCAATTACTGCTTAATAATAAAGTTGTAAACAAACAAACAAACAAACCACCTCGGTAGAATTTGTCAAGTTGTTTGGGAGAGTCACTGAAATAATATATGTTTAAGCATCATACCTCATTTATAGCACGTGCTCAATAAATATTGTCTAGTATTATTAATTGAGTTTATTGTAGATTCATGGCTACAGCACTTGGTGTTTCAGATCTCCTGCTTATTCATTCTTTCCTCCGCTCCCCTCCCTTGTTCTGCCCCTGGGTATTTATGCTTTTGTGTTCTTGTCTGTTTTTTTCTGACCTATAGCTTGCTTTGACCCTTTGCTTTTTACGTGCTACAGTAATAAGAATTCTAAGTATTGTGTCCATTTCTTAAAAGAAGAAACTGAGGCTCAGAGAGGCTAAACATCCTGTCCCAAATCACCCAGCGATTGGGTGGCTAGTCAGAATTTGAATTCAGATCTCACCAGGCCATCTGTGGTTAGTGCGCTTTCTTATATGTTGTCATTTCCCCCACCTTTTCCAATGTCAACCTAAAGAAGTCAGTCCTGGATCCTCATGCAGCCATGCACAAAGGTGCCCAGCACAGCAGGCAGTTGAGGGCTGAATCCAGCAAGCCATGTGCCCTGGCATGAGGCCATGTGCCCAGAAGAAGGAGTACTTTTTCTAAATTTTCACAAAGGTACCAAAAGAGCTAACAGAAGCAGGCTATGTCCACACTGTTATGTGACAAATATGCTCCCTCCAGAACCAACTTGGAATTACATCTACAAGTCAACACGTTTGCCACTCTGCAAGTAGGTGCTGCATGGCTTGCTGGCCTGCATTACTATCTTCTCTTTTAGATTAGAGTAAATGAGCAAGTATTTATGTTATAAATGTTTGGTAGTTTTGATGAGTCGCTCACGTAAGGATATAGAGGTGAAGTGAAGTCAGAGACTGTCATACTAATTCACTCTGTATTTGGGAAAGCCAACTATCAGAGCAAAGAACAAGGACCTCTTCTGGTGGATATAACCTCTTCCTTCACATCATATTTCCATGGTTGATTACTTCTATGAACTTCCTTTCACATGGATTTTCTGCCAAGTGTAGATCACAAAGATACTGGTAAATGAAAAATAAAAATGTTGACTGATTAGAGCCAGATCCTACCTTCTACTTTAATTACTTGTTTATGTGGAGATCTATTTACGTTATCACACTCAAGAACATAGAATAGATGTCAATAATATTTTAAAAGATAAATTCACTCTATATGTCTCCTGCTGCTATTACTAAATTATCATATAGACAGTGATGGCGGAAGAGTTACAATTTTGTTTTTGTTTTGTCTCTGATCTTAGAAGAAAGGCTTTTAACTTTGTATCATTTTAGCTGTGGGCTTGTCATATATGGCCTTAGCCACTGCCTTTTCACCTTCCTTTCTCACTTTCTCAATTTAATGGGGAAATTATGCTTGCCTGTCACTTAGATGGAAGCATATCGTATAGTCAGAGCTAAGTAAAGAGACTTTTAAGCAAACTCAATAATTTCAAAAGCATTGTCTTGACATGGCCTAAGAGTTTGCTAAAGAAAGACTTCACAAAATGACACCCTTGAACTTTCACTGGGGGCCCTCACTGTACATTTACATAGTCAGATTACCTTTTTCCTCACTGTTGGAGACTGGACTGTGGAATGTTACAGTGCCTGCAGGGACGTTTATTTTAGTGGAGCATCACAAAGGATACATAGTAGCGTTTGTGGAACTTTGAAAAAATACACATGTCTAGAACTCAACCCTAGAGATTTGGATGTTGATTCATAGGCTTGGGTAGCTCTAAGTAGTTGTATCTTTTTTTATAGCTCCAAGATATTTCTGATGCCCACTTTCATAGAAAAATAACTCTTTTGCATAAAACAAAATGCAATTGAAAATATGAAAAAAATCAAGGTTATTTTGTGATCCAGAAGAAATCTAAATGTTAATGGACATTAAAGTACTGGATGGATTATGTCCCACAAATTTTCAAAGAGCCCTGTAGAACATTTACCACATTTTTAAAATGAGAAAGCAAAAGGAAATATTCAGATCTGTTCCCAGTGCCTTATGATGAACTTTCTCAGAATGTCCTCTGGGACTTAACACAGAGTGAAGCAGACGGTCACTGGGGCTTTTAGCCCTTGACCTCCTACACTCTTGGATCTGTCTGAGGTGAGACTGGGAAGAAAAGGTGCATTACCTCTGTCTTTGACCAGCAAGATGCCCTCTGTGGGCTTTATGAAGAAACTGCCCAGGACAAAAGAATAGAGCTAAGAGAAGTTCTTAAAGATGGGCTTCTTTGGTTAATGTGTCTTCATGTTATTGTACGTGTTTATTCCCTAAAAAAAGGAAAAAAATATTCATATTTACTTGTGGCGTGATTATATGATTAACCTACAGATGAGAAATTATTTCTTTACTTGGCAGAGTCGCTTGGATGTGTATTTGGCACAGAGCCCCACAGGAGCGTCTGTTCAGCACATGCAGCCCTGGGCCCAGGTACATGCTTCCTGTTCCTGAGATGACTCACACGTATCTCTGCAGGATCCCCGAGAAGCGCTCCCAGAGAGCTCACTGCACCGTTTATAGGCACTGTCACTGGCATTTGATGTTTCTAGAATCAGCATCAACTCATGTCGATTTCCTTCTTTTTATTTCTGTGTCCTAGATGCTTGATTTTTGGGCCTGGTTCCCAGATATGCAGACTGAATTCTGATCCTTAGATTACCTAAAACTGCCTTTTCTGGGGAAAGCTTGTATTTCCCCTTTTGGGAAATCATCAGCTTTATACGACATGATACAGGCTATTCCATATCTGCTCATACTCCAATTGTCATATGGGCCATTTCAGAGTGTGGAAATAATGCTTTATTCACAGCAAATTAAATGTTAGAGAGGGGTTAAAATAGATTAATGGTTTCCATTTTTACCCTCATTTTAAGGTTTGGGTTTTTTTTGTTACTATATTACTCAATATTTGGCAAGCTCAGAGACAAGTCAAATTCAATTGGTATGACTTTCTGAGCCAAGTATGAGTGTGTGTGTGTGTGTGTTTGTGGTGGGGGGAGACAGAAAGAGAGAGAGAAAAGATCTTCCCAAAGTTTTAATATATTTGTGTTCTCTAGGAATTTGCATTTTAAACTATGCCCTAATAAATTCATTCCATGCTTTCAAGTTGAGAATCACTGCTATAGATATACTGAAACACTAGTTGAGGATTTCTGAAATTCTCTGAAGAGCTCTAACCACAGGAGATAAGCCTGCAAGTTCCTATGGGAAGAAATATGTTCAGGACACAGGGCCTCCTACTGGTGAGGAGACAGATAGACTCTGGTGGGCATGGCCTTCCAGGTAATACAACTTCAATTTCACGTTTATTGAGCACTTACACTGTGTCCTTCTTGCTGTTCATATACATGATGTCATTCAGTCTCACTGAATTCTCCTAACAATCTTTCAACAAAGGCATTGATAACCGCATTCTACTAATGTTATAGCCAATCTCTTACACATCTCACTGCTGACTCCTCTCAAAGAGAACTCTTGTCCTTTGACAGCAAGTCCTTTTCAGGATAGAAATAAGTACAAAGGGGAGATAAAATATTTGGTTATAAGTTATGTAGAAAGCTAAGGCAAGGATGCTGCTGCTGCTGCTGATGGTAGTAATATTAGTAAAAAGAGCAATTTTTTCAGCATTCTTAAGTGCTACATGGTTTCTATGCCTTACCCTATTTAACCTTCACAACCCTGTGAGAAGAATGTTACCGTCTTTCCCATTTCACTGACTAGAAAGTTTCAGAGAAGACGAATACCTTGCTCTGGATCACAGATTCAGTAATTCCTTAAGCCTGTATTCAGACAAGCTCTGTTTGATGCTAGAACTCAAGTCCTAACTAGTACATTCTGTTGCTTCCCCTTGCTGAAAACCTGCAGAGACTCAATAGCAGCAGACTACTCCCTCTGTAAATATAAACCATGATTGGAATAATTTTAAAATAAAAATCAGGATTAAATCAGTGAATGTGAAAAAAAATCTGAGATTCAAGTTAAAAGGCATACCTGAGATTTGGTATAGTTTGAGAATGATTTAATGAAATGCTTCAGGTAAATGTGAAAATTATCTGTCTCCTCCATCCTACACGGGTAACAAATAACAGGAAAAGGAACCCTAGGTATATGAATGTTTCTACTCTAATATCTGAAATCTAAAAATTAAAATGCAAAAATGGCTGTGTGGTCGCTCAGCCTGCGGCCACATTACTGACAACATGGCAGGCTGCTGGGCCCTGCAGACGGGAGACAGACAGCAGCGCTGCACCTCACACAGAAAGAACCGAGGGCGTTCTGGGGGTGAACATTCCTTCCAATAGCAACAAAAGTGTTTCAGGATAGAGAACATGGTCATAACCTCCTAGACCATCTGACAAAGATAATAATATACAGAGTTGTTTAATAATAATAGCTGTCATTTTTTAATGTAGGAGATGTATAGGTAATGCTTGATTTAAAAAAATTTATAAAAATTCCTGAAGCTAAGATATTCAAGAATCATTCAGTTCGGCATCTTTTGAAAAATTTCTTTCTATAACACTGTAACATATAAAGGCCTCATTGTCTGAGGGTTGTCAGTGGAAAAGTATAAGGGGATGTAAAAGATAGTTGCGTGGATTGACATCAATTTTCATCATTTTTATTATTTGACTTACTAATCTTTATTGAATTTTAGTTTATGTTCCTAAAGAGTGGAACATAATATCAATTCTTTTCTTTTGTGTATCTCTTGTTTACTGTCTTTAAATGTGTGTTATTGTCCTACATCATTTTAATGCTTAGTGTTTGTTGTTTTTATTTTATTACAGGCTGTTAATTCTGGTCTGTTCCAAGCTTTTGATTGGGGGAAACCTGATCAGAACTTGATGCATTTCTGCTGGGTATGATGATACTACTACTCAACAGTTGCATACTGCAGATGAGCTAATAAACGGCGTGTCCACTCATTATGCACCTACTAGGCCCCAGGCACTATGCCAGATATTTTATATAGATCAGATGCTACTTATTGTGTTCTTATCATGTGCCATATCATTATTTTTGATCCTCATGGTGACTTTGTATGGTAAATATTATTGTCTCCATTTTTCCAGAGGCTCAAAGAAGTTAAGTAAATTGTCAAAATTAACTAGTAAAGACCCAGAATATGACCCAGGGGTTCCTGGATCTTATGTCCACTCTTCTTCCACCACACTTATTCCTTCTCAAAAACCAAAAACTCTCAGGACTTAATTAAGACCGTACTTTAAAGAGAGAATTAATGATATACAATCTTTTTTTCTAGAGCATATTCTCTGACTTCTTATCCATCTCTCACAAAATAAACTAACAATGTCCTAACAGTACTTTGGGATGTCATTTACTACTCATTGTTTTTACAAAGCCAATATATGGATCATTAAAGATACACTAGACAGAAATATCACCTTTAGCAAGAGCCTGTGCTACCTGCCAGAGAATGGTGTATCAAGATATTTCTTGCCATTATCTGTGAAACTTTTGGAGCAAAAATTCTATATTAAAGGGAAATACACATTGCTGTTGTTGTTATTGTTATTTTTTTCTAATATATAAGGAAATCCAGTAATGATTTTGGCTTCTGGCTGATATCCTGAGCTCTAATTAAATGAATGATCATCAGAAATACATGGGTTTTTCAAATCAGGGATGTGGAAATTTGGAAATTTTTTAAAAAGTACATTTTAATGCCACCATCGTAACTACAATAGTGAAAATGTATAACTTCAACTGGTGTGAAAAATCTGATTTTTCTCCTAAACTGTTATAATTATTATGTATGTGGGAATGAGTATGTCCACATACAGAGACTCATACACTATGCCAAAGTACTAGTTGTTCTTGTAATTAACCAATTCCTTGTCCCAACAAAGGTATACAGTTGGTTTAGGAAAAGTTTTTTAGATGAGGACCTTACCCTGTAAGACTCAGATACCTACTTGAATGAGAGTTGAGTCAGATATTAGCTTTATCATTGTGCTTGCAGACCCTATCAAAATACATGGGGATTCAAGTTCACTTATGCATCTCTTGCTTGGGACTGGGGGGAGAAGAAAAGAAAACCCAAAACAAACTTAAAATGAAGGATATGTGTGTTTAAAAGCAATAATCTTAGTCACAGCTATAAGCAATAACACCATAAATTAGACAGGTGTAATTACCAATGTAACCACCAATCCTTTATTACTATGAAAGTAAAATAAATTTATTACTATGAAAGTGAAAAAATTTATTAGCCAAAAGCCATCATATGCCATTTGGATCCTGATCTTGATATTCATTGTTGCTTTGCCATCTTCTGGGCTCCCCCATTCATCTTTAGCAGAGTATTAAAATCATTGTAGTAAAGGAATGCTGATTTCAGGGACTCCTCAGGCCCACTTTGTGCCTTAAAGCTTGCTAATATTTATTGCTGCCTCTGTGTTGTGTTGTTTTTCTATTCTTTGTCTCTCTCTGTCTTTGTATTTAAATGTTTATACTTTGCATTATTCTACCGAGAAAAACAGGAGAACATGCCCCTTCTTTCTTCAGTTGCACTTTACACGTGGGGCCCTGTACCAGCCTTTCCTGAGCCCATCTTCCCCTGGCATGCACTGCTGGTCAGTGCTAATCTGCCCTCATTTCCGTCTCTGCCCTTTGCATTGGCTTCTCGTTCTCATTTACCACTTGCTCCTAAGCCCAGGTTATTATAGGGTAAGAGTGATATACTTAAGATGTTTAGTAATGCAATGACCCAGGCACTAACCAATCAGTCAACATCTCGAGTGACTATACCAGTGTGCTCTGCCTGACTGTCACCCTGCTAAGAGAACACAAGATGTACAATCACCAAAGTAGAGTCTCCCTCAGAAACATTTCTAGTCCTCTAAGAAACCTCTCCCTGGCCAAGGTTACTGTTTCCTAAGGATCTACAACTTTGTCCGCGTTACCTTCCCTTCCTTATCTTGGTGCCAGAATTAACTATGATGTATTAATTTGCTTGGGCTGCAATAAAAAAAAAAATACCATAGACTGACATGGTTTAAACAACAAAACATTATATATCACAGTTCTGGAAGCTGGAAGTCCAAGATCAGAGTGCCAGCATGGTCGGGTTCTGGCGAAGGCTCTCTTCCAGGCTTGTAGACAGGCACCTTCTTGCTGTGTCCTCACATAGCCTTTCCTCTGTGTGTGAGCTGGGAGAGAATGGCTCTCACTGTTTCTCCCTTCTTATAAGGACACCAATCCTATTGGACTAGGACTCATTACTTATGACATAATTTAACCTTAATTACCTCCTAAAAGCCTTATATCTCCAAATTCAATTACATTGGGAGATATGGTTTCAACGCATGAATTTTGGGAGAAAACAATTCAGTCCATAGAATATGGTAACAGTCAAGACTCTTTTAGTTGCAGGTAGCAGAAACTAAATCTATTTTATGTTAAAATATACATATATATATACACTGCTTTGCTGAACTAAAAAGTATAATGGTAAACTCACAAGAGCCAGAAACTTGTCCTCAGGGCTCTCTCCCTCTCTCCCTCTCACTCTCTCTCAATTCTGCTTTCATATGCTCTTTCAGTTCTTAGTCTGTTTACAAGAAAGTAGTAAGATGGTGACTGGATGCACTTACCTCATATAGTGCTTTTAATTGCAAATCCAAAGAAAAAGCCAATATTTTGGCAAAAAGTTCCAGAGAGAACTCTGGCCCAGTTTTAGTCACGTGCCCATCTCTCACACAATCACTGTGGCCAGAAGAATGAAAGACAAATTGGCCAGACCTGGTCACCTGGACCACACTGGAACTGGGGGATTGGGGTTTGTTGAATCAGCACAAGAAAGATTGTGCTACCAGAAAGAAGGGGGAAGGAAAAATTTGCCAGGAGCTTAGCACCACAGCCATTCCTTTTCTCTATAACAGGCTGACTCCTCTTGAACATCATTTTTCAAATGTCTGTGTTTGTACATTGGTCTCAATGCCTCCTGAAGAGGCTCCCCAAGTGTCAATAATTCCCTGGAGCCCAGATCTCTGCATATGAGAAGGGGCATTTTTATTTACCCTATTCAATACTCCCAGACCAAGTGCTACTACAAAGATCATCCCCCATAGAAATAAGAGCCCCTTCCTCTAGGATCTTTTCCTACTTTTCAGAAGTGCAAATTAGAAATATAATGGTTGTCTCTTTTTATTTACAATTCATATTATTGCACAGAAGTGCTTTCAAGTATTTTTAAGTTTTAATGTTTATATATCATTAAATGTATCCTAATTGTACAATTTTATCGTTTGAATAACTTGCTTAACAACTGATTGCTAATGTTACTTCTATAATGTGCTTTTCTGTGAAAATTCTTTTTTTCTCTCTCTCTATTTAATTATATTTAGCTTACACCTCCCTTATACAATGTTACTAAGATAGAAGTTCCAACAGCGGTGTGGACTGGTGGACAGGACCTTGTGGCTGATCCCAAGGACGTTGAGAATTTACTCCCTAAATTACCAAGCTTGTTTATTACAAATTGATTCCACACCACAATCACGTGGATTTTTACCTTGTCAGGATGCACCCCAGGAAATTTACTATGAGCTAATTAGATTGATGGAGGGATGTTTACAAAATTATATATACTTTTTTTCTGTAAGCAAGCAGATTTTCTTAACAATTATGTGGCACATAGACCCTAAGGTGACCCCTTCAGTCATTTTCACTTCCTAGTCTCCATACATTTGTGTAATCCTCTTACCTTGAATTTGCAGGGACCTGAGACATGCTTCTAGCCAAAAGAATTGGCAAAGGTGATGGGATATCACACCCTTGGTTAGATTATGTTTATGGCAAATGTGATGGGATGTCACTTCCAGATTACATTCTATTATATAAGAATCCATCTTAGCAGACTGAAGCAAGATATTCTCTTTGTTGGCTTGGTGAAGTAAACAGACAAGTTGAGGAAGCCCACGTGGAAAGGAACTGTGTGTGCCTTCTAGGACCTGGAGATGGCTTACAACTAATAACCTGAAAAACCCAGGACTCTCAGTCATACAAGGAAATTAATTCTGCCTAAAACCTGATGGAACTTGGAAGCCCATTCTTCCCTAGTACAGCCTCCATTGGGAAAGCAGCCTGGCCAACACCTGGATTGCAGCCTGGTGAGACCCTGAGCAGAGGACCTAGCTGTGCCATGCCCAGACTACTAACCCACAGAAACAGTGAGATAATAAATATTTGTTGTTTTAAATTGCTACGTTCGTGGTAATTTGCTATCAGCAGTAGCAAATTACTATTACTATTAACAATAATAAATTATTATTATTATTTTGTCTCTGGATAGAAGCTTGAGAGACCCTGTTTCTTATTTCCCTTGGACTGATCAACTTCCTTGGCTATTTCTTGTTTTGCAGATCTGCTAGTGATTGATGCCCTCAGTGTTTGTCTGAAAAAGTCCTTATCTAACCTTCATTTCTTTTTTTTTATTGTGGTAAGGACACCATTTGAGATATACCTTCTTAATGGACTTTTAAGTGTATAGTACAATATTGTTAACTGTAGGCACCACATTGTACAGAAGATCTCTAGAACTTTTTCTTTTTGCATAACTGAAACTTTATACCTGTTGAACAACTCCCCATTTCCTCCTCTCCCAGCCCCTTTCAACCACTATTCCACTCTCTCCTCCTCTCTCTTTAGATAACTCACATAATTTGAATCATGCAGTATTTGTCCTTCCGTGACTGACTTATTTCACTTAGCATAATGTCCTTCAGGTTCATCTGTGTTGTTGCATATGACAAGATGTCTTTCCTCTTTAAGGCTGACTAGTATTCCATTGTATGTATATACCACATTTTCCTTATCCATTTGTCCGTCAATGAACATTTAGCTTGTTTCTATGTCTTGGGTATTGTGAATAATGTTGTTTGAAACTGGGAGTGCATATGTCTTTTCAAGATCTTGATTTCGGTTCTTTTGGATCTACATCCAGAAGTGGGATTGCTGGATCGTATGGTAGTTATATTTTTAATTTTTGAGGAACCTCCAGCTGCACCATTTTGTATTCCCACCACAGTGTGTAAGTGTCCAATTTTGCTAGGAATTACATTTAAATCTTTTTTATATCTTCTGCATCTCTCTTCCTTATTTTCATGTTTTTTTAATATCCTCAAGCATAGTAAGCATATTTTAATACCTATTTTAACATACTTTCTGCTTGTTCAATTATCTCTGACATTTATGAGTTTGTTCTATAGACTGACTTTCTCCTGGTTATGGGTTATATTTTCCTGCTTCATTGCATGCTTAATAATTTTTTTTGGATGCTAGACATTGAATTTTGCATTTCTGAGTGCTGAATTTTATTTTATTGCTTTAAGATTGGGAATATTTTGGAAGTCAGTTAGTTTACTCACAGCTAAGTTTCATTGTTTTGAGACTTGTTTTTCATCACCCTAAGAGCAGGTCTAATGTAATTTCTCCTCTAAGGAAGTTTTGGCCTATACTGAGGGATGCACTTTCTGAGGTCTCTATTGAACATCCTATGTGTTCAGAAAGGTCTCTCCATGCTAGCTGGTGGGAATTCAACTTAATCCCTATGTGTACTGTGTACACTCTAGAAACTGTCTTACTTAGAGTTCCCTGGCAACTGTTCTTTCCCTGAAAGTTTTACTTTGTCCACTCTTCTGGAAATTGCACCCTGGAGATTATTATTTAGCCAAAGGCTCAAGGGGATGCCACTCGATATTTCAGGAACTCTTTCTCTGTATTACTGTTCTTTCTCCGGTGTTCTGACCCACAAATCTTATTGTCCTCTTCCTTGAACCGCAGTTTCTCTCTCCTTAAGTCAGCTGGACCACTGAGCTTTCATTGGGTTCCCCTACATTGACTGCAGCCCAGAAATCGCTGGTAGGCAGAAAATTACAGTTTTCATGGGGCTCACCTCATTTGTTTTCTTGCTCTCAGTGATCACAGTTCTGTGCTGCCTGATTTCCAATATCTGAAAACTGTTGTTTATTACCTTTGTCCAGTTTTCCAGTTTTTATGGTAGGATGATAGTTCCAGACCCTGTCATTCTCTCATTTCCTGAAGCAAGAGTCAAGATTCATTTTTAAAATTATGACATTCTGCTAATGCATACCCAGTATAACTTGACATAAAGAAGGTGATTGTAAAAAAAAAAAAAAAAAGATAACTATTAAAAATTTTAAAGTTCCTCTATGTGCCATCTAAAATTGTCTATCTTACTATCAATATATTGCAGGAAACTGTGATGGAATCTAACTGATCTTAGATATGAGTAAGCAGAGTCATAGAGAGTTTAAGTGACTTGCCCAAGGTGTATGAGTTAGTGAGTAAAATGAGATTAGAACTATGCTCTCAGAATGCTGATACAATGTAGTGTTTCTACTACACTAGCTTTTTTGTGCAAAAGTTTTATGACTTTCTCCCTAATATCTTGAATTACGGGATTTCCCACTGATCCATCTTCTCTGTTACTCTTTCAAAAGGTGTTTTCACCGTGAAATACTACTGTACCAGAATTAAAGTGACTCTCTACTTTTTATTTTCTAACTCCCCTAACTATCTTTCAGAGTTTCCCATAGTCTGACTTCACCTGCTTTTCCAGTTACACTTGCCTCTGCTCCCTTAACCAGATGTCCACCTTTCACTCAAACAAGGTTTGTATGCCTGTCTTCCCACACATCTTTCCTATTCTCATTGACATTTGCCCATACTGTTTGCCATAAACTGAATGAAATTTAATTCAAATTAAGTCACAACGTTGCATTAAAAGAATATTATCCACCCGTGAAGAATTGAATCTTAAGGCATCTTTTTTCCTCTAAGTTCACACACCAAAATCTGTAGACTCAGTTAGCCCTCTCGTACTTTTAATCAATCCTGTTGCCACCATTTCTTTTCTCAAAGTCAGAGGCTGGGCTTCTCAGTATGAACTAAGCACCTTAAAGTAAAATTTTCCAATGTTTTCTAGACTGACATATTTAAGGCTATTTATTAGTGGAAACGTAGATCAATTAAGTTGTTTCAGAGCATCAAAACAGTCAATCAGATCAATCAATTTTTCAATAATGGATTGAATTGTTAGAGAAATGATCCTACTAGCCTTTAAGAAAACTGTAAGAGCTAGACTATGTGTATTTTTATTATTTTTTAAATGAGCTTGATTAAGGTGTGGTTTACATACAATAAAATTCCCTAATTTTATGTGTCCAATTTAGTGAGTTTTAACAAATATATTCATTCATGTAACCACAACAAAATCAAGATCTGGAACATTTCTCCCATTTCCTTTCCATTTCTCCTGCCCTTCAGACTATGTATATTCACAAATGCATATATTTGCAAATTCTTAGGAAAGGACCAGAAAAAAATAAACAGAAAATGTTAAAGTGGTTACTTTCAGAGAGGGGAAGAAAGGAGGAGGGAAGTAGATGGACATGAAGGAATAAAGGAGGCTCCCATTTTGAATTTTATATACTTCTGTTTTCTTCCATTATTTTTAATGAGCTTGTTATATTTATACATTGTACATTTATACATTGTATACATTATACATTCCATTTACAAGAAAATGGAACCTGAACAATCACACACACACCGTTAAAATCAATTTCTTTTTTTTCAGCTTTATTGAGGTATAATTGACAAATAAAACTGTAAGACTGAAGTGTACGTAATGATGACTTATGTATGTGAGAGTGTAAATGTCCTTAGAATTTGTCAATTGTTCGCTGGTTCTGCCCTGTTCCAGGCCAGTTCTGTTTTGTTTGTTCATGATTTTAGATCATTTGAAGATAATTTTTATTACATTCTAGTCTCAACAGTTTGCCCTCTCCTTAAGTTCTCAGCACAATCTCTATTCTCACTCTATGTTTTATCAACAATAAGGGGATTAGCCTATGTAAGCACTATGAGGGTAGGGTTCCTTCTATTTTGTTCACCAATGTTTTCTGACCTGGAAGAGTACCTGGCACGTACTGGGCCCTTAATCCTTACTTGTTGCATGAATGAAATTTCTTAACTTTCCTCTTATCTACCTCAAAGTGTCTCTGTCCTCTTGATTTGTTCCTTCCTTTCTCTCTCAGAAAATGAAAGTCCTATTATTTTCCAAGTTAACCTGGTCTCCTTGACTCCTCCTCCCCCCTCGACTCCATCTCTCCTCATCTCCCCTTCCCTCTGGCTTGTTTTATTATCTTAAATGAACTCCTGTCTCTTATGAAAAACAAACAAAAAAATCTTCCCTCACTCCATCAATTCTATCAAATCGTGATCTATCATTCAGTTTTTATCAGCATTTTTTTAATATTTAAAAGGTCTGAGTATCTTTTACTCCCCTCTTCCACTCATTCTTGAACCCTGGAAAATATAGTTTTGGTCTTCATCTTTTGTTATAGCTACTCTATCTAAAATCACTCATGGCTTTTAATTGTCAAGTTCAATTGCCTATTCTCACCTTCAGAAATGTGTTACGTTAGTTACCAGAGTCTCCTTTTAACTCACTCCCCTAGATTGGACCTCCATAATGCAATGATCTCTGATATTTTTCCTTCCTTTTAGTTGCTCTTTTTACCCTCT